ATAACCAAACGGTAAAATATCAGTATTTGTCATGGTCAAGTTTCATTCAGTTTATCAAACGGCAACTGAGCGTAGAAGTCAAAAATGCACAAATGTACAGATTCTGTGGGTATGTTAGGTTACGCTGACGGTGTGTGTCCTTGCTCCACAGCCTTGAGGGCAAACACTCACAGGCATGAATGTAAACTGCCAACAACTTATGTTTGAAATATTTCCTGGTTGCTCTTTACTTTACGAATGAGAAGGACTGTGGAATGAGGGTTAAAGCAGCTATTGGTTCTTTCATTAAGTGACTAAACCACTACATTAGATGTTAGACATTTTGTGCGATTGTAAATAGCTGTATCTCTACCTATTGCTAATGTATCATTTACTGCAACCTGTCATCTTTGCTGGTTTTAACCATTCCTGATGGAGTTCATTTTTTTTTTTGTCTCAGAAAATGGTTGTCGCCTGGAATGTTCCACCTAACGAGGAGGGCGAGGGGCGAGGGAGGAATGTGCCACATTGGCAGTTAAAAAAGGGGGGTGTGGGGTGGAGGAGGTCTGCAGCAACAGAGCTCCACAGAACGGACTCCCTCTCTCTCTCTACCTCTGGTGAGGATTTTGCTCCACTGTGGCAAATACAGAAGAACTCACTCTGGACTGAGGCCACAGGTGCCAAGAACACAGAAGCACTTGTAGCACAATTGTGTCTTGTTTTGCTATTACAGTTCCGGTAGTTTTGATTTTTTTTTTTTTTTTTTTACATTTCCTATGAAGAATATGGATAAAGTTTCTCTTTTTCCTGCATTATTGACTGTATGTACCATAAGCATACCATAATGTATGATTCATATGACAACCCATGGCTATTTTTGGAGGTGGAAATTTGCCAAAGGTGACAGTAACTGCTGCATTTTTATTCCTCACATGGCTATATTTTGTTCAACATAATCCTATATTCACCTGTTATTATTTGGAAAAATCCTGCCCACGTGCCATCTAATCAAGCAATAAATACAAACAGACAAAACAACAAAATAACGACATGCTATCTACAATGATTTTATTAAAAACATGAAATGCTGCATTGATATGATATCCCTTATACTGTACCAATTAGTGGCAGTGATGCCACCACAGGATTGGCATTGTAACATTACCACTCATTATATCGAAGCCTGAAGGGGTGTTTGATTGTAAAATGTTTGTTTTTTGTATTTTTCTTTACAAAGAGGTGTCAAAGGTGTGTTTTTTAAAAACTCGAAGTTGAAGTACACAGGTGTACTTCTGCATATTTGTACAGACGTCAAAAGGAAACGACAAGAGGGGGATAATGGATGCTGAAGAACGAGCAGTTCAAGCAGACAGGAGAAAGATGGTGTAGCCACACTCTGAAAGTGCTCTCTGCTGTAAATCTCTCAACGGAGCTTTTGTCTAACCACAGAGACTTCTGGTTAACTCCATCACAGAGACATGCACTGCAAGTTCCCTCCACCAACAAGTCAGTATGATTGAAATCAATTGAAAACATGCTGCAGCTGCCTAAATCACAACTCTCAACCATGTTGACGTTTCTTACAAGTGAGATTCAAAGTATTTTTTTTGAATCTACTAGTAACTGTAAAGTTGTAAAATATATTTTACTGTAAATAGCATCTGGGGGTCATTTTTACTCCTTTTGTAACTGCAACTGTGCATTTAAAATATATAAGAAATATATTTTAAAAATATTTACAGCATTATTAAAGAGATTCTACAGTAGTGCAGGTGTCTTCATCTGTACTACCTCACAACAATCCCATATTGAGTAATGGCAGACACTTTCAGAAGCAGCAGTGCGTGCCATCTTAGTCCTGGTGTCCAACACTAATGGGCTCAGACACAGCCTTTCTTGTCCTGCCTGTCTGCTTGAACTCTCAAGTTGTCAGAGAGAGCCCAGACACTGCAACAGCAGCAGCTCTGTTAGCTTATAGCACACTCAAGCCATGACCGTGAATATCGGTGGATCTTGACTGAGCTATCTAGCTATAGCAAGCTGCTGCAATGCAATGGGCTCTCTCTGCCCTGGAGCCCTGTCATGGCTGTTGTCTGTTGCCAGGAAACCAACCCGCACAAAGCACAGCAGGGGATTGATATGCAGCTACACTGTGGGGAGGCAGGCTGGTCAACCAGCCGGCCATGGTAGAGGAATGGTAGGAGGAAATGATGGATAGATGGATGAGATGGATTTAGGGGGAAGGGAGTTCAAATGCAACTGAGGGAACTTTGTATTCGAGGGTAAGGGAACTTGCAGGGTGAGGAGGGGTACTTCGGCTATGGGGAGGAATTTGAGAAAAAGAGGCCCTTCGGCAAAGTGAGCAGTGAGTAAATAGCGCCTGGGGCCCACGAGGTTAGAGAGGTTACAGAAAGGGATGCAAATAAAATTGAGGAGAGCAGGGTCAAAATCATAGACATGTGATGCTGTGGGACATGACTCATGTAGGTCAAGTACAGTGTGGTGATTTAGCAGATTTAGTGATTCCCACGGAGCTTGAGAAGAAGAAGCATGTCTGAGTACGAGACACTGTAACACACACAGGCACTGCTGGTTCAATCGGTCTGCCTCAAACTCAGTGAGACTGCAGTGGCAACCTGGTTTTTATTGGGGTCTATAAGCTTTCCGTTCCCTTTCTACCATTCCTTTGGAAGACCGCTGCATTACCACACCGGAGTTACGATTATAATTGTGATTATTAACCCTTTCTTTTATACTGACAACAAATGGAACACTGTATAGATGTAAAGATGGGATTTCTTGCATTATGACGATGATTGAAACATGGATGTACATATATTGTATCAATTAAAATGATGATGCATTAAGCTTTTATATGTTGCAACAGGACACTATTTTTTTTTCCATACGGCTCAAGAGAGCAGAGGAGAGAACAGGAACGAGGCACACTGAGAATAATTGGAGATAAACATTACATATGAAGAGATATAGTGTCAGTAATCGCAGCCATGAGGATACGGCTGCAGGGTCCACTTACACATCTCAGGGCAGCAAAGGGGAAGCTCATGCTGTTGCCCTTGACAACTGGAGTCTTCAGAGGGGCTCTCAGTCCTCAGCTCCTGTTAATGGAGCAGGTCATAAAGGAAAGGCATCACTCAGTCAGTTGAACATACTCATAACCTCATTCACCTTCTTAAAAAGATATTAGCTTCCAAGAAATATATAGAGGAAGTCTTCCTTACTGCATTTGCCACTATATGTTTAATCGGGTAAAAAGGAGATAAGCATTTAAGAACAAATTACTCTGTGGATCATGTGATTTGCTGCCTAAAACGTACTGATATACAGTTTATTCACTACTTATTTTACCTACATACTGCGCTTTGAACACCCCTACTCCAGCAGTGCAGAGTGCCCTCTAGAATTTGCACACAGAAGTCCCACGCTTCCCCTCGCAATGGGGGGAAGGCCTTGCACTCTTAAACCACAGAACAATGAAAGAATAGGGGGGCAGATTTCCATAACACTGTCCATTGCTCTGGCTCTGAACTGCTCATACTGACCTGGTGGGAAACGCTTCTCTCACATCAGCAAATGGAGAGCACGTTTCTGCCAGTGGGAAAGTGAAGACCCACTCCACTGGAAAAGAAAGGAAACTACAGGAATGTAAATACATGATTAGACACAACCGCCGGTGGATCTGCCGGATATTCCACATTCTGCTGCTGTTTCGGCTTAAAAAAGTGGCGACTCCTATAATTAGCAGCCAACATGAGGTGACATTTCAAATGCGTAACGGGGCTGAGGCTTTGTTTAAAATGTCACAGGGCGTACGGTTCTGCCAGACCCGTTTTGTCGGCTTAAAGAGTCTTAATTGTGGAACAAAATAAAAGGGGCAAAAAGAGTCTTGCTCTGACTGCCAGAGACAAGCAAACTCGGTCAGTGTGCCTGGAAGCCGGTGAATTTGTGCGAGTGCATTTACGGGGGCTGCATGGACAGAACGTGTGGGCGTGTGTGTTCCTGAAGTGTGTGCATTTGTGGAATGTGTGTGTGTGTGTGTGTGTGAGACAGAGGCACAAACAAGACAAAGGGGTGAGTGGGCTAGAGCCAAGTGAGCAGAAAAAAAAAGATGAGATGGAGAGAGTGTGAGTAGCTCGATGTTCACGGCTGAGCAAAATTAGATCATTCGCTTTGAGTCATGTGAACGTAACCAACACAAGGTGAAGTTTATTAGAGAGAAGCCGCTCTGAAAATACCAAGGCTTCATGGCATTAAAATAGACTTTTTATACTCTCCATTGCTCTTTTCCCACTAGAATTGCTTTTTTTAAATAAATTATTCATAGACACAGGAAATTCCAGATTATTATTCCACTTGAATTATTGTACATCTCAGTAAGAAAGAGCTCTAACAATGCAAATTAGCTCAAGAAATTAAGTTAACACACGCATGCAAGCTTTATTAAGCATGAACAAAGCATGAAAGCAATAAATACAAGGAAGTTTTCTCTTAAACAGTGTATCTCAGCTACACAGCTACCATTCTAACAACCTGTTTTATGAACCAATAAATATCCAACGCTCTCTCAAACATGTAGCTTCACCTTGGCAAAAAGCCAGAGAAAACATAGTTGGCTACAACAAGATAGTGTGAAAACGGAGGAGGAGAGGAGGAGGACAAGGAATCTTTTTTTTTTGCAGGATGGAGAGAGAGAAGGAGAAAAAAATAAAGAACTGGTGCAATCCAGTCTGTGGCTCCTGCCGTTGCCCCCGGATACGGATGGAGTGAAAGCAAGGACTGGGAGCTGCAGCTGCCTGGTTTCCATAGCGATGTGGATGCAGGACAAGTGAGGAGAGAGATAGACTTAGTGAAACAGAGAGACTATGAGAAGGAGAAATGGAACAAGAAACCCAGAGAGGGCAGGGAGATGAGAACACACCAGGATGAAGGGAGAGGGAGGAAACGTCGAACACAGGAATGGTGATAGAAGTGGTAGAAGGGAGGGAGGGAGGAGGATGGACTCAAGGAGAAGGAAACGTTAGAGGGATGTTAAGCTCAGACATGGATCCCCAAGACTTGCCACTGGAGACCGCCACCTTTAGGGGGACCTGGGAAACACACACACACACACATACAGAGAGAGAGAGAAAAGGATAAGGTGTCAGTGTGTCGGCACACGTGTACATGTTGTTAACAGTGACCTCTATTGATTTTCTTCCTTGTCTACACTGCTGTTAAGCACAAGAACAGCCAGAAAACTGAGGATGATTGCATATCACAAATGTTCTTATTTTTGGTGCTGCAAGAATTATCAACAGCAGGTACATCTGCAGAAAATGTAAAAAAAAAATCCAGATTCATGGAAAGAGAGACCCAAATTACAGCAATGTCCTTGAAAATTTTGGTGTTTTAACCGCAACACTTGAATTTAAAAGATAAAAAAGCGCCTATGAATAGGCCACGTTTCTGCATTTTCCACTCACTGCGATACTGACTGGTTCTTATTGTGTACATTTCCACTACCTTCGCTTCCATGGCAACAGAAAAATCGTCAACTTTGCATTTATGATTGATGTGAAACTCTCAGCGCCGTGCAACCTCCGAACACGATAACTGACGCTGCTACACTGAATGATTTAAACTGCAGATTACATTGGCTTTACTCACTTTGAGATGGACTCCTAGATGGTCTATTCGCTGAAGGGACTCCATGGTGCTTTTCACCAGAGCTGCACAAACATGTAGATAGAAATGTGAACAATCAAACCATAAACCATAGGCCAGAATGAAAGGTCCTCTTATATTGTGTGGAGCCCTGGTTTATGGTGATTTCCAGTGTTACATCTTTTATTTTTATTAAACTGTAAGCTGGCATCATGTGCACAATACATTGGTGTGTCTTTGATACAAGTAAAATATTGATAACTGAGACCAGATGTGATTCATCTACCTGCAAACTGTTCCAAATGGGAGTCCTCCACTTCATACAGGAGCTCATCATGAAGCTGGGCGATAAGCCTGCAGGTCACACACACATTCAGACACAAACACTTTCCTCTACTAATGCTACGACTCCAGCTACTACTAATAATGCAGCAGTTGTTGTATCTTCATCAGCGAACCACAGTGAATGCTTCCATTTACTCTGTGCCCTGCTTTCCCAACACCCATGTAATTCTGGTATATTTTGGCTCTTGCTTCAAGTTTGTTTATCCTCGCAGAATGTTTGGTGTCAGACAGCGAGCACTCCTCTTCTAAACAAATTTAGTTAGCTGGTAAACCGCTGAATGTTGCTCATGTGTTCTGGCATGAAACACTCACTCAGTTCTCCTCCATAAATACAGCGCATGACCGTGTTTTGCTTGTGTAGGTTTAGAAAGACATACAGTGTGAGGAGTCAGGGTACATTTAGTAACTGTGGCTCCATGGAAGGAGGCAGTAATTTACACGGTGGTAGGCGTAACATGGGAGCCACGATGTGAGAAGTGTTTCAGGAGTTTTTGCAATATGTGCAACTTTAGTAAGTAGTGCCATGTTTAGAGGTGGTACCTGGCAGAGAGCGAGCTGGAGGAGGACACCAGGTTAAAGATTCTGATCATGGCCATCTTACAGAGATCAGCAGCTGAACCTGTACACACAAATAGAACATGTCCATCTGTTTGACTTCAAAGTCCAGCAGTAAGTGAGCAACACTGGGATACTGACTTGATGATAAAGTGAAATGTAATGAGCACAAATGTAATGTTTTAGCTGAGAAAAACATAGACATGAGCTACAATGACTGACATTATCAAAAGTCTTTAACTGAGCATCTACTGACTCTGTATTTTCTCTGCTTGTCAACTTAGAAATAATGCAAATATATCGAGATGATATTATTTTGAATCATTTGACATTTAGGTAATATTGCAAAGCGGTTTACTTGCTTTTCTTGTATACTGTATAAAAAGGTATTACACATAACTGTCAGTCATCCTACCCTGGACCACAAAGTTGACAGCCTGCCTCTCTGCCTGCATGCGGATGCTCCAGTCTGGGGAGTTGATGTTGGGGAGGTTTCGCCGACGACCCATGATAGACAGCACGTAACCTAAACCAAAAGATTAAAAAAAAAAGATGTTTAAAATGTAATAATTAACAGTTATCAATCTTAGCATAGTATCACAATACATGCACTGTGTCAGTCCTCTTTAAAGCTGAACAGGGATGTTATTTGGACCCTTTTGATAAAGCAGCCATGCAAATCCCACAAGATTCAATATACAACCACAAATCACAAGTGGTGTAGTTTCAAAATGTGAAATAATATAGTTGTTTGCTGACAAATTGTACAAATCCAAGTATCACAATGCACACCTGCTATCAACTGGACTATAGAAAGTCATCAGCATTGATTAATCCTGTTTGCATTTAACTAAAATCAGAACATTATAACTTAACAGTTTCTTCTTTGTATTGATTCAGAGACAAAATACAGCACAAACCAACATGACAAAATCTGATATGTCACAAAGCAATTGGTATTTTTTTTCTGGTATTCTTCTGATCTTTGTTTTATGTGAATAACTGGAAAATTTTACTCACTGAAATTATTCACCTGAAACAGGTTGAAATAAACTACGTGGGCTGACCTGGTAAATGGTGGAGAATTACTTTGCTTTAAGAAATCACATGTAAAGAAGGTTTGTACCCACAATATTACTAAATTCATTTAGCATTGTTCACTTTTGAAGAAGAGTTGGATTAACAAAGAACAAAGTTTATAAGACAAAGCATCAAAATCAACACCAGACATAATGGTTCATTTTTGTTCCATGGAGGTTACAAGAAATACGATGCAACTAAAAGACTAGACAGCTAGGTTGGAGATTTGGGCGTGTTATGCCGGTAGCGACTAAAGCAACCTCAAGCATCTTGCCTCGAGCAGAGATGAGGAGTGGGCTGGTCTGGTAAACTCACTTTCTATCTTCATATCCACAATATTTCTTTATTTTCAAACTTGCAGCCTTCAGCTCCAACCAGCGCTGACTCAAGTACTTGAAACAATTTATCAAACTTTGAGCAGTTCCCACTGGAGATACACAACTTTTTTTTTCACATAGGCAGCGGTACCCTCCAAGACTTGCAAAAGATGCATTCAGGAATATACACATAAACACCTGCAGACGTGTAAAAGTCACTGAGTTCCACTTTAAAGCACACACTTGATGGTTAGACTGACATGTGCAGAATGCCAAGACGAGTCCGAGACAAAAGAAGGGCTGGCCTTTAAATATCTGCAGTGTCAGTTTCTACTTTGACTCAACTATATGCACATGCTAAGCAGAAATGAAGCTCGAGAGTGTGATCTGAAACGACCGGTGTCATGAAAAGTAAATTGTTGATACAGCATTATAGGTGATTATGGTAACACAAGGCTTACAGTGACAGAAGCATACACCCACCCACACAAGTGTGGATCATTACACACACACACACACACACACACACACAAGCCCTGATATCTGAACGATTCACATACAAAAGCAAAGAGAAACACATTCACACTCCCAGTGCAGTCCCACAAACACACAAAGGAAGGCAACACAAAAATGTGCAGTGACGTGATATAAACATAATACACAAAAACACACATTATCATGTACAGGTATGCAACACACACACACCACACACGCTCACACTCACACACACTGGACCAGTACATTCCGCCAACTGGACAATAGAGCCGGCTTTACAGCTAGATCCCTCTCGTATCCCTTACTATGAGCTAAGCCTGCCAGGGCATGAAACCTGAATGACCCTCTTCCTAGAACACACACACACATGCAGCATAAATGCATAGGAAATGAGTGCACTACAGATAGTAACAAACACAAACCTTCCACTCTTTGTGAATTGACCCGTGACACATGCATGTGACCTTTACACCAGGAATGTGACCTTTGTTCCGAGGCCCAGTGACGGTGATGTGCGGTGTACTTTGTGTCAGTGATAACACATCACAAAAATGCTGTTTTCTATGGACAGGTATGGCGGTGAATCATACTGGAATGTCTGTGTTTTTCATACCCAGTGTGCTGTTTTTTCCACAGTCAGTGACACAGTGCAGGTTCAGGCTTTTTTTTTTTTCCACGAGCAGTCGTTCGGAGAAAGTTGTGGTACATGTGATGGGCAGCAGCACTAAAAATGAGGGCTGGCTACAAAAGCATCACTCCTTAACATTTGGTGGTAGTGTGTTGGGATGACGCTGTTTTATCATTCATCAAAATTCTGTTGATTGAAACAGTGATTTAAAGCAAATTCAAATAAACAAGAAAACGAGTTATTAAGGCCTATTTTCTCAGGACTACACAATCACACAAGGTTGCCATGTACTTCCATGAAGTAACCAGCGTTTAGACGTATTTAAATCAACATTTCATGACAATTTGTGGGTGGGTGTATCTCTGCCAATCAAACATGATGAAACCACGCTCCAGTCCTGATGATGCAGGTTAGTTTGCAAATGTGACTCTTCAGAAATTGAACTTTGATTGTGGCCTTTTTAGTCATTGAAAGTTAAACTTGCAAGAACTGGTTTATTTATTTATTTTAAACCAATAAAGATCAGCAAAACAAGCTACGAACACAACTTTGGCACATCACAACCTTTTAAATTAATATGGTGAATTTATAGCTGCTTCTGTACACATTCCTCAGTGATGGAGCGACATGACAGTTCATTTGGAGTCGTGCTGCTACATATCAGGTCAATGTAAATCTGAAAATCAATAGCTTAGATAGTTTTTATTTATTACCAGCATTATTGTCATATCGTAATATATGTTGGCAACATACATAAGATATAAAAACTACAAATTGGAGTTTACATTTTTGTCATCTCTGTGTTTGACGTGCTTGAATTAAAGCCGTCCAAGTAGCCCACTAGTGCAGCCATTTGTGCTAACAGCTGCTGAGCATAAGAGGCTAAACCAGCAGCTAAACAACAAAATACATTGTTTTAGTTTTTTTAAATAAATGCCAAGTATTTGACAGTCCTACTGTCTGCAAAAGTCTGCAATTGAAATACTTCCATGCATATTTGCATGAACAGTCTGGCAGTGCATCGGATGTGTTTGTGTGTGTTACTGCAGCAGAGTGTTGACACAGATCTGGGCTTCCCTGTGTCAGCTGAAGCCTTCAGAAGACTTGACCAGTTTTCATCTCTGTGATTCCCCATTGTTTTGAAAAAAAAAAAAGAAGAAAACTCCTTCTGTCTTCATCGTTTTTTCTCAGGCAGTCTTCACAAGTGAAGATATGGCATTCATCCCAGGAGTGTTAATGAAATGTACTTGATATGGAAAACAACAGTCAGGCTTACCCAGAGTGGCGGCTTTGTCTCATTTTAATATCAAAGACAGCGAGTGTCAAACAGAGTGTGAACCATTCAAAGAAATGCAGCTGTGGCTGTGGAGTCATTTTTTGTAGTTTGTATAGTAAAGAAAACACATCAGAATGTCCTCAGTTTTGCTCTGTTTCTCACTAATTTATGAATTCCTTTACTTTTTTCTCTATTATTTTTTGGCTCTCTGCTTTCCCACCCACACTCTGACACTGACCTTACCTTCACATTGGCCTTAACAATACATTTTCAACAAATATGACAGAAGCTGAGCCTGCACTGTTCACCTCAGCTCTGCTCAGCCTGCCAGCATCCATCCTTCTGAACAAAATATCGCTGTATCAGACACCAATCAGCTATAACCCTGGTGCAGAGTGGACCAGAAGTCACAGCACGTATTAATCCCAGCTCCCGAGTCAAAGCACAGCAGCTAAAACAGCCAGTGAAGGCAGTATAGATTAGAGAAGACTATTGTATTGATCAGCTGAATTTCTGCCAGGTAATGAGGAAGGGACTGAATAAGGTGGGCAAGAATATGGGGAAAAAGATAAGATCGTCAAAACGGAAACAAAGAGAAAGACTGAGATGGACAGGATGAGAAAGGGACAGACAGACAGTTTGGGACGAATGGGGCAGATAAATCCCAGCACTGTCTCTGATGGGAGCATCACCATGGTGATGAGCTGAATTAAAGCCGACCGTTTGGCACATCATCACTCTGCCCCTGAGACCGAGGAGGTTCCCACTCTGGTCTGCGAGTGGCAAGAATGAGTCCATTACGACATTTCGATTAGGAAGCTGACTCTGGAGAAAGGGGAGGCGATGAGCGGAGAGTGGGGTGTGTCACCGGTGAAAGGTTGCCGTGGGTGATGGAGCGCCTGTCTGTGCGTAACGGTGGACCAGTGTTCATGACAAAGGTGTCTGGCATTGTAGTTGGCGTGAAAAATGTCTCCAGCCCTGACCTAAATCTTGATATTGAAGGTTATTTTTCAACACGTTGTACATGATAAAATGGCAAATGCTGGTTTTACATGCAGCAGCAGCAGCAGCAGTCTGGAAAGACGTCTGAAGTTGACACTGTGACACAATCGTATCTTTCTAACTGATTTCTGATCATTTAATTAGGATCTAACAGGTTTACAAAACAACTCACTGGTGTTTTTATTAGCAAGGAGAAAATCAATTCAGAACACATGAGATAAAGTAAAGAGGGGATTAGATCTGTTGCTAGAGGCTGAGGCTTACACTTAAACATAGCCCTCAGTGACTGTTGGAGGATCTGTTTTGGTGCATTCTGACCTCATCCCGCCGCCTGTCGACACTCGGCACATGCACTGTGTGCAATGAGGGTTAAAGTGCAGACTTTACAGTATTTTGTGTGAGCGTGTTCAAGTCCCAGGTGTGCTGCGTTGGCAGTTCAGTCGGAATATAAATAGAGTGTCCCGTCTGAACCATCAGACCCTTCCCATCCTGCCCCCTCCCATCCACTCCGTCCCCTTCAAGTATTGACCCACGGCAGTTTGTCTCATTCCTGCCAATGCAAGCACATCTTCTTCATCTTCAGCCAAACACACACAAATCCACTGAGAGTGTGGGCGTACGTGTTCATGCCGGAGAAATTCAAAGTGCACAGTGTGTGTCAAAAGTGCAGCCCTTAACCCAGACATGTGTACATATAAGTACTTAATACGTGGGGACAATTTGTTGATTTGTAATTCCTAACATCAACCTCTAATTTCCCCAAGCTCAACTTTGACTTTGACCCTTACCGCTAATCACCTCTAATCCTTTGAATATTTTGCTTCCAAGTTCTGGGAATTAGCTTATATCCACTATGTGGCACATTTTCTTCAGTTCTTTGAAGAACAGAACGTGCTCTATTAGGAAACATTATTCAATAGCCTAAGTCAATGCTTCATATGAGAGCATGACTGTACGCAGACCTTGCTTGTGGCTCTGCTGGATGGTTCTCTGGATGAAGGCCTGGACATCTCTGTAGGTCTGGAGGAAGCTGTCCTGGAATAGACGGGCCTGCTCAGTGCTCACCCCCAAGATCCCTGACAGACGCTCACGACCTACAAGAGACAGCAAAGATTAAATTAGGAATAAGAAAAACTCAGCTCAACTCAGGGGGGAAGCCATGCACATACAACATAAGTAGGAGTTTGAGTTCATATTCAAACAGGCACTAAAGAAGTTAGCCTGTTTACTTTACGTTGAAAGACTAGTTCAGCATCTTGAGAAATATGATTTTTTTCTTGCTCTTTTAGTAACAGTTATAAAGTTTTTGCACCTAGCCAAGAAATAGTCCACAGCAAACCCCCCATAATACCCCAATGTGTCGTTTTTATACTCCAACAGAAACAGATAAAACAAACAACTGTTTTTTTTCCTGACCTTTAGAGGCACTGGTCAGCAAATGTTGTTATCATTGGACAGGCTAGTTGTAGCTGTCTCACTACGTTAGGGAGGTATAAATCCTTTAACTGGCATCCTGTATCTTCAAATTCTTAAAATCGTCAAATCTTGAACTGTTCCTCCAATATCAAATGCTCAATGACAAACTGCTCCCCGAATGACCAAAATATTAAAGATGTTGAGCTTACAAATGATCCCCAGAGAATATAAATGGAGAAAAATTACTTTTATCATTATGAACTGAAGAGCGCGAGGAGAGATTGGAGAGACCAGAGGAAGAAGTTGAAAGGGAGCAAATGAACAGAGGACACACTGGACCAGAGGGTAAGAGAAATTAAAAAAGAAAAAAAAGTGGAGTGAGGGATTGAAGAGGACAAGATAAAAGGAGTGTGGACACAGATCAGGGCAAGACTGTGAGGGATGCATTTGTGTGTAAAGTGAAGATAAAGCCAAGAACACAAACACCTAATGTGTGTGTGTTCTTTCTCAGTAAGTGTTAAAGGGATGCAACCTATAGCAGGAGTGTAGCAGTGGTCTATAAGGATCCACAGTTACCAAGTGTGATTGTGTGTGTGTGTGTGTGCGGTTTCGAGCTGTGAGGCGGTGGAGAGTGGAGGACAATTGCTTCCGCAGGGACTCACACAGTTCTCCTCTGCATGTGTTTCTCTTACGGTTATTTCTTGTTTGACTTTCACTGTGCAGAATGATGCACAAGTTTTAAACTGGGAGGCAGTTTTCACATTCAGCTGCTAAAGGAGAAAACACATCATTTTGTGACATCCCATTCAGTCTCGTAACCAATCGTGGCCCCATATGCAGCTTACGCATGTGTGACGTGGAAACGTCTGTAGAAAACACAGACTCAGACGGACAGAGAGGACATAGTGTGTAAAGACAGTGAAGCAGAAGGTGTCTTGCGTTCAAAACTTAGTGTCATATATTTCATTATATACATTTGGATTTTTCAATCAGGCAGAAGGAGAAGCTGTGATTTTAAGATTTTTATTCAGGTAATCCGCCTGAATAAAAACAAAGTGTTCTTCCAGGCAGAGTATTTTTATGTCTGAAAGTATGTCTGAAGTTAAATGTTTAATTAGAATACAGCCCAGAGAAATCCATAGAAATCCTTCGTCAATTTCTCCCTAAAAGTGCAATAGAAAATCTTTTCTATGATTAATTCTTAATTGATTCTGTCTGGTCTCTGAGAGCATCACATTTTTTGAACATGTCATCAGAGGAACCAGTATTTCTAGGTGTTCTTGTGAAAAATGAGATTTTCAAGAAGAAAAAAAAAAAACTCCACTGCAGTCTTATACTCTGATGAAAAAAAAAATCAGCGTGTTTGTGCTCTGCTCAGCCTGGGCTGCAAAGTAAATCACACAATTCCAATGTGGACTTTATAGATTATTGGGTATTTTTTTTTGCTGGCAAAAGTGGCAAATTTCTTTTATTTTAGAAACAAAATATTTAAAACAAATTCATATACTGTTAGTATTAAGGCTAATAACAAAAAATCTATATATCTTCCACATAGGCTTTGTTTCTTCAAAGTCAGAGTAGGAGACAAGATCTGAATGTATTTGATTTGGCTGTATGGCAGGTACGCAGCTGCTAAAATAGGCTCTTTCAGAAATGTGTCTGACTTGTGCTGAGCCACAATCCACTGAATCTGATACGCATATGTATGAAGAATGAAGAATAAAACACAAGTTACCAGGTGGGTGTTGTGCTACAGACTGTAACACTCTGGATGCGTTGTGTGTTTTTGTGTGTTTTTGTGTGTTTCTGTGTGTGTGTGTGTATGAAGCCCCACATTCCTGTTGAATGAGGTCAGTTTAGGGAGTGAACTTTAACCTTCATTACTGACGCTCCGTGCACTGCTACTTTCGTACGGCCATCAATCTTTACTGTCCTGTCGGTTTACTTTCTATTTTTTCTGCCCTCTTTCTGTTGCTTGTGTCCTTTTTATCCTCCTTAAAGAAACGTTACAGTATATTTCAAATGCAAAAACAGCCTATTATGGCCAAAAGCCTGTTGATATGTGGAAAAGTCCTGAGCTGACAAAATGCAAAATCTGTTCAAATGTAATGACGAACTGCTCTGAACATTTATCCATTTTAAACTCTCATCTCGTCTTTATGTTCACACTGCACACGACACCTCTGTCTAACCTCCCTTCTCCCGCTTTTTCTATCCGGTGCCACAGCTTGGCCTTCTTATTTGTTGACCTATTTGTATACCTATGGATGTGTACGTGCAGAAGTCCACAGCACCATTCTGCCCCTCCTCCCTGGCCTGATTATTGTCTTGTGGAGAAAGCTTCTCTCAGTATTCGGTAACCATAGCAACGCATCCTTCCATGAAGAGCTGTCTGTCTATGCTGATCAGGAGCTCCTTACATTCCTCCTCTCGTTTGCCTCTTTCTCTCTCAGCCCCACCCACTCCTCACTCTTCCCCTTTCCCCTACATTACTCCCCCCTCCACCGCCTCCCCCCTTTCATTTCTACCCCTAGCCTACATTTTCTACATCGGCCTTGCTATACGAAGTATCTCACGCCGTCACTTTTACATCTCCTCACGCGCTCCATGCTTTTTCTGATTTATTTTAGCGCTGACCTTTTGTTATGTGACTTGTCCCTGCATGTATCTCATGCCCCCTACATGTCTCCCATGAATAGGTTTTGTGCCTCTTTACTGATCATTGTTTGGGTTTTATTGAGTGTCCAAGAATCGACTCATTCATATGAGAGCGGCGGCGGCGTCTGAGCGCTTATGTTTGTTTTCTCCTGCTGGGCTGTGACTCTAGTTAAAGTAGAAATACCACAGAACCCTCCATCATCGGTCTGAGAGCATCAAATCTTGTTAATCTGCTGAATGCACTCAAAGTGCACTCTATCCAAAGTGAGTGATAGCCACTGGCCCAGTTTCCTAAATTCAGATTCTAATGCAAACCATGCGCTTTAGGGTCACTGCCGTTCAGCTAATTAAATCACACATATTTTCTAGTTTTGTCATGATGTTGTTTTGGCAGGGGAAGTGTTCTATTACAAAATACTGCAAGCCATGTATTTTATGAGGCTACAAGATTCATGCACAAATTTGAATATTTGATCATCTTAAATATAGACTCTCTGGTGCCCACAAGCTATAAAGATTTCAAAACGGTTAACTAGCACTTGGCTGAATACCACAAGTGAAACACATCTGTTTGTAGTGCACAGGCTACTGATCATTCACTTCTACAGTAATTGACCACTCTTGGAGTAAAATGAGCAAGATCCTCTCTCACTACACTGACCTACAAAGTCAAAGGATTTGCAACTGTGCGGGTAGTGAAACGGAGGGAAATTACTTCTTTTGACTGAAGTCAAATTTTGAAAGAGAAAATGAACTATGCTATGTGCAAATATGGTCTCAAGGGTTTCAGTTAAGGAAAAGTCATGCCTATGAGAATTCATCTCTTTGCCCAGAACTATAATATGTTCATCATTACATGTGTCCTTGCTTTGGCCATATGGTGCCTTTCTGTTTTTCAATGTGGCTCAAAGACATAGTGGTCGAATCTAACTGAGAACACAGATGTCTGTTAGAAAACCTGTAAAAGCAGGCAAAACATTTCTGTGAATGAAATGTGACAAACTTGCTACAGTTTGTAAAAGTATGGAGTCTCATGGCTTTTGCAGACTTTCCTCGAAAAAACAAAATTGGCTTTCTTTTTATGCAGCAGATTCACTTAAAAATTGAATTTATGTCCTCATGTCTCCAATAGTTGGATTTCTTCCATTGGTTTATGGTGTTCATTTTTTATTTATTGTCCAAACAACAAGAAAAAATAATGAGCCCTGCATCTACAACAGCAGAAGCCATGCGAACAGTTCAGTGTAATGAATTATGTATGATTAACTGTGTTTTGAACAGGTGCTGTAGCCTTGATAATAGTGGTTTTGACAAGAGGCTCTAAGTTGTTAAGACTCTTATTATACCAGAGTACAATACTTTGGACATCAGGCAGCCACTGGCTCACACCCGACCACCACAGAGCTTGGTATAGTATAGTGAGCCTATGGAAAAAAACTGTAAGTCTACATGAGCGTTTAAATTGACTGCTGGCAATAAAACCTGATGAAGGGTGTAGACTGCCTGTAAAACATCCCGCCATCATACAGGTGAAAGCACAAATGCACAAGTAAACACATGTTCATGTTTTATGTGCAGGTGGAGGAAAAACATATACACACAACAATATTTACTCACACACAATTGTTTAGTGTATGTTTTAAATCATCTGCCAAAGAAAACGCCCAAAGCTGGGCCGTATATCCACCACCGTCTTCTCTGTCCACTGACACAGAAGCATGCACTAGTAATCCCCCATGACACTGACGTGTCACTCTGGTCATTCATGTCCACACGTGAGTGTGAGTGTGTGTGTGTGTATTCACAGGAGCATGCACATGTGTGTGAACCATAAATGGGTCACAAGTCACACAGACGAGTCTCTTTATGGGCCACATGAGTGTATTTCACATCCATCTTCCTCTCACTCCCACTCTCTATTTTTATCTTCCCCTACCCCGTCATCCCCATTCCTGCTCGCCAAGTAAAATCAGGAATGTGATCCATAACATTAAAGAAGCACCAGAAAACAGCTATGTCCCAGTAAAAAACTGTTGGGCATTTCTGTGTAAGGATAACCTAAATCTTGCATATGAAAAATCACATCCCCATAATACATTTGTTTTTTTGTTCTTCTCCTTTTCATCACCTTCAGGGCAGTGTTTTCTCTGTGAATTATTTGTGGTGCTAATTCTTTTACCCTCTTAGCACAATGAACACCTTGTTGTTCTGAACTAATCACTAAGTAGCAGTCAGTCTCATTGTCTTGCCATTTTGAAGCAATATCGGGCAACTGTCCAGTTAACTCATTAACATATGTCTCCTCATGATTGTCAATCAGTGTTTATTACCCACTTAACTCTGAGACAATATGTGTTTGTACTCACCTGCCCCATAAACAACCGAGTAGACGATGCGTTTGGCATGTTCCCTGTCCTCAGATGTCACCTCATCCTCTCTTACCCCCTTCCTGAATGAATGAAAGCAATTAAGAGACAAGTCAGTTTCTATTATTAAAAAAATACAAACAGTATTATAACTCTGTGCAGAAGACGTCCTTTGCTGACAAAGTTTAAACATTGTTCTTTGGCAAACTAGGATTGTTGGTAATAAATGAAAAACTAGAGAGCAATTGAAAAAAAGCACAGTTAAACACAAGTAAGACTGAATTGAGTGTGAATGACTGAATGTCTGGTAGGAATTTTGAAGAGATTTGTAAAGAAATGCTGGGCACATAAAGATAAGTAGTAGATGTATTATCAGTAAAATTGGATAGCTATGAGCTGAAAGCATGAAGCAGGCTTAGATAAAACTAAAAAAAAAAGAGAAGACATTAGAAAAATTCCTATGAGAACAACAAGAAAAATAAAGACAGAAACAGTGTGAAATATTCTGACAAGTGACAAATTAAAGGAAAAAAAAAAACACATAAAGTTTCTCAGTAAGGTGCTGGGCCACCATGGAGGGATGAACACGATTCAGCCAAAGATATTCCGTCGATTAATGTTTTGATGATGGTGAAGGAGAGTGCCGTCTAACGTGCTGTTTGTGATCTGGTGGTTATGAAGCCCACAACATATGTTTTAGATCGTTTTCATACTCATCAAACCATTCGGCGATCCCCTGTGCCCTGTGGACGCAGACAGTGTCACGCTGGAAGAGATCAGCTCCATCAGGATAGAAGTGTTTCATCACGTAATAATCTCTCAGACAAACTTTGAATTGATTTGCAGTGACTCTTTCCTCTAAGGGGACAAGCAAACCCAAATCATGCCACCAATATGCCCCCCACAGCTGAACAGAGCCACCAGATCCCCTCCCTTCAGTCGGTCAAAGGTTCAGGTTTTTCCTTCAATTTGTCACCCGTCTGCAGAGGGCAAAGGGACGTGAAATACGAAGAGACACAAGGACAAGAAAACAGAAAAGAGGCATGAGGGGGGAGAGAGAGAGAGAGAGAAGGAGGGATGGACAGACACAGACGGTTATGTAATGTGACTTGCAGACAGCCATAGTACTGGGGATCAGACAGGGTGGGATGACACGTCTGCAAAGTGGCATTTCTGGAGGGGCAGACAGGGAGCTGCCACTGCTGATCAGTGCTGAAGCCAGTTCCACACATACACACATACTCAGAAAAATTACAAATGTGTCTGGTGAAGCTTAACACTCCAATGTTACCCGATGCCCCACGTCTTTTTAAATGTGATGCCGCTATAGTAGAAAGCCTCTCTGCTGCTCTCTCTCTCTCTGTCACACATATTTCACTGTTAAAGGACAGGTTAAGGTAAAGGATGGGTAACCTATAACCTCCAAAGGTGAGCATTTGTCTCCACTGTGCATCTGGCTGAGGAAAAATCTATTCTTGATTTTCATTGCCCCCTGCTGGATAGGTATTCATCTATTGGAGACTTGAAAAAAAAAAGCCTGCTGTTTTGGAGGTAAATGTCTTTTTTTGTCACTCAAAGAAGATCAAATTTTTTTTGCAGTTCTCAAAAATTAGCTTTAGATTGCTGTCAAATGTATTGTGATGAAACCAGTTTGCAACAAACTGTAGGGCAAAAGAGCAAGAAATATAAGAAGCTGTTCTCTGCAGCGCTGAAAGAAAATCTAAATATTGAAAGCAACAAAGAATCAGTTTTGTAGTAGGAAGGAAGCCTCTGAATAAATAAAAGCATTCAGCTTTTTTTTTTTTTTTTTTTAAAAACCTTTACTTATGTCTCTTCCTGAAATAGTCTGGCAAGAGCTGTTTCTGACCAGAGTACAGGAGTGACCAAAGATACTGCTGGTGGGTGGAATGATGGAAGAATGTGGGGGGATTTAAGGACATATGTGTAGAGAGAAATAGAAGACAGGAAAGGCTGATACTGAACAAAATATAAGCAAAAGAGTGATAGGAAACGAGGAGGTAACAAGAATAGGAGGGTGGAGAATGATTGAACAAACCAGCAGTACAAGAAACAGAACATAGCCCCGTGAAAATAAAGGTGGAGGGAGAACTGGAGGAGCTTAGGCAGAAGGCTAAAGAGGAGAGAGAAACAGAAGGTCCAGAAGAGGAGACTAATCCCTGCAGAGCCGCAATGACACCAGTTAATTTGTTTAACTGTGCAAGAGAGATAATAAAAGAGACACACTGTAAAGCCTCCGTAGGGCTGTTAATATGGTAATCTGTTTAACGGGTTGCCCTCTGCCACACACCTGACTGAGATGGATGACACGAGTGGAGGCATGACACGCACTGCACACACAGCATCAAACAGACCGGCGTGTAAACACCGACACACACCGGCAGCAGCGGCGAAAGACACACGCGCACTCGCAAAAAATACTTCAAAAGCACAACAACGTAATCACCAGGACGACCGGCCCAGGGGTGTCCCGCCCATGGAAAAGAGGCAGAATGAGGCAGTTGGCATGGTAGTCATGGCAACAAGATTATTAGCGTTTGAAGTGAAGGAGCTGGCAGTCAGGAGAGAGGGAGGGAGGGAGGGAGAGACTGAGAGAGAGAGGGGAAGAGAAACCCTGTGGAGCGTCAACACTCACCTTGGCGAGGAGATCAGGGGAGAAGCAGCGTGTGTGTTGGTGTGTGTGTGAGAGAGAGGGAGGCCCACCACTGAGAGGCCAGCATGGTAAAGACGTCCGCCTGGGGGCTGGTAAAGATGCGGAGCAGCTCAGGGTCAGAGGAGAGGTGAGCCAGCAGACGCAGCTCCACCTGGCAGAAGTCTGACACACAAACACAAACACACACACACAGAGTTATTTTTCACCTCAGAGGACATCACATTAACTTCCATTTATTTTCCCGAGCATAACTATAACCACGCTGTGATTCTAATCTAATACAGGTTTTGTCAGATTTGCTGATTCTTCATTCCGTGAGTGCACCAAAAAACAAAAAACAAACAGCCCTGGCTCTTCAAATGGGATACCAGTCGGCTTGGACCGATCCAAACAGTGCTATTAAAGCCTAAATATCAACAATCTTTGTCTAGAATCACAAATTACATCTTTAAATTAAACTTTTATATGAAATAATTGATGTCACTGAGACTTTAATTTAATCTTTTAATTAATCAATCTCAATGCATCGTGTTCCTTTTATATACAGTATGTCATAAAAGTGAGTACATTGTCATTTCTTCAGTGTTGTCCCATGAAAAGATATAATAAAATATTTGCAGAAATGTGACTCATTTTTGTGACATGCTGTAGATTAGTGCAGTACAAAGTGCTTTAGGTAAGTGACAAGCAAGTAGTAAGAGAGAACAAGTCCAGACTGTAAAATAATTAAATAACAAAGGTATTATAAACTAGATAAAATCGGTTAAAAGACATAAAAATAAACTGTAAAAAAAACCAAAAACCAATAGGAGGCCGGTATCCACACTGTGACTACACAAACTGATTTATTCCCCACAACGTGAGTAATCCCAGTAAGCACACCTTCTAAATGACATATTTCTTCAATTTTTACAGAAAAAAATTGCCTAAAAGCTTTAGTCCTCACGGGAACTCGTGTACAGCACACAGTAATTTAACAAGTATGAGCTCCTAAAAACAACCAAACTAGTGTTTTGGTTTGACGGCACTCTTGAGAGTTAAAGAGAGAGTATGACATCTTGGGAGAAAGATTTGTTCACTCTCTGTTAGTTGTGAAGATCAATACCACTTTCACAGCACAAAGGGGTAAATGGCGTAGATTTGTTTAAATGTAACTAAATCCTCCCTCCAGATCCCCCACAGGAAGAGCAGATTCTGTACTATTTAATATGTGTACATTTGCAGATGTATTTTTAGCCAAACACTATAATTAACATTCTCTCCACGGAAGGTATTATTTGTGCCGAAACTACAATATTGTTGCGCTCGCTGTCCCCCCCGAACCTGCCATCTTCACCTCAGCTAGAAGTCATACATGCAGGTGAAGAGTGGAACAACAAATAGTGACAGCAAAGTCAAAAGAGCCGGAGCTTCCAGTAAAGAGAGAAAGGTCACTGTCAGCAGAGACATCAGCGTCTCTGCTTCCTCCGTGTCTCTCTCTCCTGGTGGTAACGGTGTTAAATTGTGGGTCTGGAAAGAAACCTTGCCTCCTGATGGTGTCCAGTATTGATGTTTTCAATAGCTGAACAATTTTTTTAGCTATCAAACGTGATTGTACCTGAGCTGAAAGGAAAAATGTGACACACAGGTATAGCAATACAAAAAAACACTCATTTTGTTTTCATGGCGCTTCATGCACGACCAGCTACAGCATCAGTCGGTTTGTCCTGCAATTATGATTGTCAGGATTAAATATTATCATTTTGAGATGCTACAATACTTCAGATTTACAATTAGAGCATTTAACTTTCCTATACAATGTCTGCCTGGTGCAAGACTGTAACTGAACTTAATGTCACAAGCAATTAAATTTAAATACGGACACTTGATCCAGAGACACTCAGCACATTTACTAGCCCTTAAAATCAAATGTTAACTGGATTTAGGTGCACTCTTAAACTATCATGAGTGTCAAGTAGCTCCTTAGAGTAAAACACGACAAAATGTTGCACCAAGAGGGGCTTCTTTGTTTTGTAATCTGGGAGGGAAGCATCTTACAAAATCACAGAACCACAAAAAGCTTCTCATTCCCTGTCAATTTTTTACAATATTCCTGGCGCAGCAATTGTCGCCTTTATTTTTATCATGTTTTTCTGCTTTGGTCAAATGTTGTATCATTTTCTGACTGAAATCACTCGCTTTTCTTTTCATCCCCTTTCCGATTAACCCACACGGAAAAGAAAATATTTTGCACCGCATGATAATCCATTGATGTTAAACCTTGGTACTGAGAAACGTCATAATCACATAAGCGTTTTGTACAGACATGACTAAACTGAAAAAAGGTTTTAAATTTTGCTCTATGCATGTTGAAAAAAGCCCACAGCCAAATATGAGCCTGTGTTCTTTTGACTGCACAATGTAGTGACGCACGCTGCAATTACATTATTGTGCCTTGTGCACCTAACTATCTATAATTCAGCTCGCAACAAGGTCATCTGTGAATGCATCCATGTGATCTGACAATATGCTCTGATTTGTTTTTCTTCTGATGCTACAATTGCTGGGATTTGGGTCTAATTTTCTGCATCCGTCTCACTCTGTCTCTGCCATGTAAAGCTGACTAGCTATTAAGAAAACGTGACTTGAAGACACGTAAACGCTGTTATTAATGCCTGATGTGACGATACAAAGTGTGAAGATAAATGTCATCGCTGACTAAAGGGCAATGAGAACTGCATTCCCATCTGCTATTCCATGACGGTTGTTTGGTGCATGTTCCACCAAAATTACAACATTGATCCTTATGCCGTCCGCCATTTAGTTCAATCAAGTAACTAATAAAGGATAAGTGATCATATTAACGTACTATAATATTAATGCATACATAGCAGTTGCATATATAAACCGCACTTGCGTTACGCGTTTAACTAAATTATTCATATGTGCATTTGCAGCTTTAATATGATTAAAACATCACATTACACAACAGAAGACCACTAGAATTACAAAAAGGCCAGCACATATTCAGTCTGCACCTCCTCTGTTTCACCCAAGGTCAGAACTTGAGTTCTTTTATTGTTAATGTCCTCAATCCTATTCATATTTCGGAGCCACAATGGATGCATATTTTGTTAAAACTTTAATTAGCTGGTTTAGGATATTTAGACAAAGTAGGGGTACATCCATAGATAAGAAGGAAATGGTAAATTTCAGGGTGAGGACTGTTTCAGGACAGTAAAGTTGCAGAAGTAAACTCAACTAAAAAGCCCTCTGAGGCCAAATTGCTTGAGAAATTTGCCCAAGGCCATTACATAAGCACAAAGATAACCAGAGGCTATAAATGAGACGCGATGACAAACACATGCAAATGAGGTAGACCGAAACTCAACTGTCAGATGTAAATGCACAACACAGCTCACATGCCTTTACAGATGCACACCGACAGACAACTCAAAGACATGGACAGACACAAAGGGCAAACACACACACACACACACCTTCTGGTAATAGATGACAGGGAGTTAGTGGACTGACAGGTCTACAGCTCTCTTGTCAGTTTGGCAGATCTGAACTGAAACACTTCTCAAGATGTAGCCACACACACACACACACACACACACACACACACACGTCGATATCCACGCTGACAAAGCAACCGCAGTACATCCCATTTCTGCCATTCCACCCAGACGCATCTCTTCCTCTGCTCGGCTGATTCCAAATCGAATTAAACTCCGCCAAATGTGGGGGAAAAACAACTGGAAATGGATGTAGGGAAATTGAGAGATTTTCACTCAGGATGAACCAAGCAGCTGTAATACGTTTCTGCTAATGTAGGGAGAGGAGGAATGATGGCGGATGGGTGGAGGGGATCGTGAGCGTGGGGGGATTTCGTGCATTGATGCATTAAAAACAGGAGTTGTTGCATTTATCATAGTTTGAGGGAAATCCGACAGCTTACTGTGCTGCAGATTTCAAGTCAAATCATTCAGGGGAACGAAAGAGCAGGTAAGAAACTACGTCGGCTGTTTGGCTCCAACAAACACCACTTTCCAGTTAACCCAGGTCGCACCTAGATTGCAAAGGAAGGTTTGAAAGGGACCGAAAAAGGTAGAGAGTGGGATGGATGAAGACAAGAGAGCAGGGTGGAGGGGTGTTGGTGAGGTGAAAGCCGGGGGAAAAGAGACAACTGGTTTAGGTTGTGCTGATATGAGCGAGGGAGTTTCTAAAGATATCATCCCATTAATGTTTTATGAGCTCGATCACACTTCCTGCAAGCATGGCCGGCAGCCTCGGAAACATATTGCTGACCAAGATGTGTGTGTGTGTGCGTGTGAGAGAAACAGAGGGGTGGAGGGAGATCTTTGAGGCTGATATTATGAGAAAAATATGCTTGTAGAGTATGAAACAGAGAGAAATCACATACGCTGCGCATGTGAACTCAATGATCCTGAATGAGTGTGTGTGTGGTGGACTATGTGTGCTCTCCAAGGCCTGCTTCTCACAGAGACTGTGTCTGTGATAAAAACGTCACAATCAGGAATCCGTGTATCGATCCATACAGGAATAACTCCAGTAAGCTTCTCTATAGATAGACTGGATCAGATGAATGCCATTTATACATTTAAACTAAAAATATCCAACTGAGCGCTGAAGCATGTTTGATGACTGAAGGAAACTGACAATCTGACAATAAACTGCAATTTTTAATAACTGCACGTTGACTATTTTTCACAGTTCATGACATATAAAATAAGAAAACGTGAGTTAATAACTTTGGGTTCAGGTGATTTGCTCTCATTTTTGCATGTGTCATATCCACATTGAGTATTTAGTTAATTAAAATAGTAATAACTAGCTTAATCCACATTAAAAGCAATGACTCGCTACAGCCGAAATGAAGGCACTTTATAAACGTACTGACAGGAAATACATTTATTGGCTATCTGAGACAGCATTACTGTGCAAAACACAGGTGTGCATTACTTCAAACTGCAGTTATTAAAAACAATAAATAAGTGAGTACCAGCTTTAGCAGTTCTTCGGACAGCTCACAAAGAAATTGAGGGGACTAAGCCATGTCTCATACCTTTTTAATGCCACCGCCCAACGTACCCTGAACAGCCCCTGGTTGTGCTTTGCAGTCCTCTACAGCATGAAGAATGAAGGTTATGGATAAAAGCTTAAGAGCTCAACTACAACCTGCACACTGAGAATATGAAATGTCTCTTGTGGGTTGTGGTTGATTTAGAGAGGCTTGCAGGAAGAATGAATCGACCGGTATACAAACTAAAGCCCTTTTCAGACAAGGGATGAGGAGCATTGCTGGCTTCATCGGTGACAACATGCTGTCATGTAGACGTGGGTCACTTTTCCATGAATGTTCCTCATGGCTTCATTCACATGTAGTGCCTGAGAGAGCCTTGGTACACATATGATATTTGTCATTTCCACAAGATGAGACAGTAGATCAAGTGACGTGTTATACATAATAATGCAATAACAGACTAAATTAAAATTAACAGGCCAATTTATTTCTGATTTCTTTTTCACGATGTTACAAAATATTTAACTGCAGTCGATAAACTGTGACTGGAATTATTCATTACATTGAAAGTAAGAAAATATTATTTGTAACGTCCCTCTCTGGTTATTGATTAAACCTCTAAAAACTCATTACGGTGAATCAAAGTTCCATATTTAATTTTTTTTAATCAAAATATTAGCTTTCTGCATTAATAGCAATAGTTGTATTTTGGAGCTTAGAAGTGTTTAAAAGTACTCCCTCATTTTATTGTGATATTTTCTAGTTTTTGCGGCTAAAAACTGTGATTGATGGTAGACAGGTTAGTGCAGGGGTGTCCAATCCTGGTCCTCGAGGGCCACAATCCTGCATGTTTTAGATGTTTCCCTCTTCCAACACACCTGATTCAAATGATCAGCTCGTCAGCAAGCTCTGCAGAAGCCTCATAACGATCCTGATCATTTGAATCAGGTGTGTTGGAAGAAGGAAACATCTAAACATGCAGGATTGTGGCCCTGGAGGACCAGGATTGGACACCCCTGGGTTAGTGAGCTACATGCCCTGTATACACACAGAACAGAGGTGAACAGTGTCTTATGCTGCTAAAGAGCAGAAGTCTGAAACATGTTGGCTGCAATAATAAGAATAATAATAATAAGAGACACCTTCCAGTGTACAAAAAGATTGCTGTCATGATAACAGAGCACATTATGCAAGTGCTGTTCAAATTTAATTTACCTTCAGCTTTATCTCACATCATGCTGTTTTAAGGTTCGAACCATTTAAAAAGCGACATGATTTTATTACAGTGAACTATATTAAACCTTGCTGGCTATTAACCAAAAAACTCTTCACGTAGGTTGCACAAAAATGAGTGCATGTGTTCCTACAGCTTTCGTCTTTGGACTTCGAAAATGGAAAAACTGAACTACATCCAAATTCCCTGCATGTTTTAAGAGGACTACTGTAACAGACCCGATGAGGGAATTAAGCCTGTCTTTGTTCTCTTTTTGGCTAGCCTCTCCTTCCTCTCTGTGCAGCTCCCACACACCAGCAGACATCTCCCAACAGAAAATAACCGAGTTGACAATTGCAAAAATAAACAAAACACACATAAGGCACATACAGGTTGGTTTAGGACAGGGAGGATGTGCAAAATGCTCTATGAAGAATAGTTTGCTTTATCAGTGGTAGACCAGGCTGGATTTATTTATTTTTGCTAAATTATGATTTGGAGTCTTCTGAGGCTCATCACACAAACAAAACCAAGACAAAAAATTTGTGTCAGACGCATGCAGACACACATGTCTCTGAGTTGAGCTGGAATTCAATAGCAGGTGAAACACACACAGACACACACTTCCAAATTGGGAAGGACACTAGAGGACATACAGGGGGTGACTCTGCGATGGCTCCCTAGGAGAGGTTGTTTCCATGGCAACCTGGCCTCTAAGTCTATGTGTTTGTGCGAGTGTTTGTGTGGGCATGTGTTGGCCTGCTGGTGCGAGTGTGTGAGTGACTCCCAGCTCGTTTTGTGTGTGCATGTGGGATCCTCGCTCTTATCCTGCTGCTGTCCTCCTGCTAACCCTGGTTTATCTGTCTGGTTATGTAAGTGTGCGACACACTGTCAAGGCCGGCGAGCACCCTGCGCTCCACGCAAAGCTCTCCCAGGCTGACAGCGTCCCAGCTCTGCCCTCTTTGACTGCAGAGAATCGACCGCTGTTACGCCCTGAAGTGGCCTTTTGACGGCGGCAGAGGTCATGTCAGCGCGAGAGGAGTTGTCCAATACGAAAAGATCAAAAGTGGAGAAGTCTTTCTTGGTTTAATTAGTCTTGTGTTCGACTCACATATCCAATTGTAATGTTCACTGCTGTCAAAACAGATATTCGCACACAAGTCCCCACAAGGCAGAACCTCAAAAGCAGAACTCGTGTTCGTGCAACTGCAGTGCAACTCCCTCAGATTGAGTCAGCGGCTGGGTCAACAGCGACTGCAATGACATGCCTGAGCAGCTAATTGCTGCTGAAGTGAGAATTAAATTAATTTGTGGCGAAACATGTGCAGTGGTTAGAGCAACGGTAGATAGCTGTTTGTTTCCAAAGCACATACTTAATAACTTTTTTTAAACATATAAAGTTCCAATTCTGTCGTAACAAAAATAGCTGAATATAAAAAATAAATACTAGACATTTTAAAATAAACATATACACAACAGACAAATGTAATACTAACTGGAATAAGGATATCATTTTGTATCTGCCTTATTATTTTATATCAAATGTGGTGAGGAAAACAGAGCTAAAAAGGTTGAAAACGTCATGTTTTCATATCATATATTGTCTCACCTGCAGCGAGGAAGGTCCAGCCCTCATGAGGAATGAACATGGCCCGAGGATGGACAGTCACCACCTCCTCTTCCTTTCCTGCAAGGACCAAACACAAACCTCTGGGGAACTCTTCAACAGATCATAACTCACTGCAAAGTGGAGGCTATTTTAAATGTATAAACTCTGGTTTGAAAAAAAGTCTCTAGTAAGATTCAAAACAGTTCTGGGAAAAGAAAACCAAGGCCTGTTCATCAGGGACAGGAGTGTTTGCAGTGTGCATTCATTTACAGAATTTGACTGAGTTTCTTTAGTTAAAAACACACATTTCAAATGCTGAAATGATTAATTATTCCAATACCTTTAATCAATTTATGTTCGTACAATGAAAACATTTGCTTCTTTCAATTTATTTTTAGGCAGAAACTTATGATTATTATACCAAGGCAAATCACTATTATGTATTTAGTAGATTTAAAAGAACAGAAGTGGAACGAAATGCTTTCCAACTGAGACATAAATTGGTTTAACATTAACATTCTCTTAAATTAAAAGATAGTTCTTCAAATCAGAATATGTAAATATCACAATTTAGGTGCCACGTGTAGACACAAAGAGGCTGGTTTATTGCAAATGCCTTTGTAATTGTGTCACACTCTGCCAACTCTCAACTCTGTTAGCAATGCTAGTTATGGGCCATGCTAGATAGAATTTCTATTAAACTGTCCCACCATAAATAAATGCAGCAACTCAGTGTGTGACATATGGATGTCTTTCACAGCACGTTTAACAGCAAATTTATTGACTACAAACAGAATAAAACAGTGATTAGGTTCTAATATCCTGTGTGTGAGTTCATGCAGTTGACCGAGGCGCTGGCGGAGACAGAGAAAACATGGACAGTCAGCAGCTGGGCGTTTAGAGGAGCAATAAAACACGCTAACACTTCTTACTGACTTAATGAAGGGTTAAGTTATGGAGCTGCAACACTCCATTTAGAGGAAAATCAGAATCCAATCAGGACCAGTCCATCAGTGCACTCTCTGCTGTGAGGTGCTGGACTGAAGTGCTGACCTTGGCGCAGGAGAAATGATGGGGCCCATAACAACCATCACACTGTGTGAACCATCACATCCCACATCAGCATGATGAAAATGCCACTAGAGCAGCAACACACATACGCATATATGCTGACGGTGAAAATGTGGCCTCGCTCTCACACGCGCTCACATGCAAACTGGGACACAATCAGTTGTGATTACTGTCTCCACCTCGGACCTTAAGACACGGAGTGATGACTGACAGAAGGATGTGGGGGGGAGGGAAGAGGGGATACTGATGGAGGGACAGCAGGGATGATACGAGGGATGTAGCCGGGGCTGGAGAGGATTTGATGACCAGGGCTCTGGGAATGTGAGTGAGGCAGGAGCAGAGCTGCTGATGTTAGCAGCACCTATGAATCACTTAAACGGCCAAGAGAGAGAGAGAAAGAAAAACAGAAACATGGAGAGTCCCGGACAGAAATAGAGCCAGATAGCTGAGTGTGGCACCGCTGGCTGTGACTGACAGTGGGCTCAGTATGGCCTGCTCATGCCAACAGATGGGTGGACTTGTTTTGATGTTTTATTCATGGACAAATGGAGGAATATTTTGGCTTCTGTTTGGGACACACTGATAGCAGCTAATCTGGTAACCAGAAGCAGGCAAATATTAAACGAGAGTTGACCTCATAAAACCTCAGAAACCATCCTTAATTTGAAGCTGATCATCGACCACAAAACCTTGACATCATAGGTGGAGGAGGCCAGTTTTGGGAAGGTGGGCGACTGGGATGTTCACTGAATCAGAGACAACCATACAATCAGGTATTTACTTTGTCTTTGTTCACATAGGTTGATTTAGCTCAATGCATCCTGATGGTAGGTGTTTCTATACAGTTAATAGAATTTATCTTCAGAAAATCTAATGTAGACTTAGTAATCGTGTTTAAAACAAATGTCTAAGGTGTCCAAGGTGGCTCGGTGGTTAGCACCGTTGCCTCGCAGCTAGAAGGTCACTGGTTCACATCCCGGTGAGGACACCCAGGATCTTTCTGCGTGGAGTCTCCATGTTCTCCCCGTGCAGCGTGGGTTCTCTCCGGGTTCTCCGTCTTCCTCCCACAGTCCAAAAACATGTTGAGGTTAATTGGTGATTCTAAATTGTCCGTAGGTGTGAATGTGAGTGTGCTTGGTTGTCTGTCTCTAAGTGTAGCCCTGTGATAGACTGGTGACCTGTCCAGGTGAACCTGCCTTCACCCTGAGTCAGCTGGGATAGACTGCCCCCCCCCACGACCCTAGTGAGGATTAAGCGGTGTATAGATAATGGATGGATGGATGAACAGTTATAGCTGCTCACTAATTATACAGACAACACACTTGTCAAGTCAAAAGTACGCCACTGTTGCGAAATACTGTCATGAATTGTATTTCTGTTGTGATACAATTGCTGCAGAGTGCCAAAGCAACTGTTCCACAAAATGAAAAGCCACGCTGTTTTTCCCAAGTGTCAGTGCGACATTTTTTATCACTGTGCAACAAGGGCAAGAAGAAGGTAATTAAAACTTTTTCGAATAAGAAAAGATGACAAGGAGACTCCTGAGAACACAGAATGACTGCTGGGAAAATAATCAGATCTAAAATTGCCAAGTTGATGCTTGTGTCCATATAAATGACGTTCTCCCTGAGCTGTCTTAAGGAAAACATAATTCACATGAAAGTAAGCAGAGGTGCCATTTGCGGGGCTGAGATGAACCGCGTGACGAGCTTCATGTTGCACAGGCAGTCAATTAGGTGCAGATGTTCATTTTCTCAAAGGTTTTTTTTATCAACTTTTACACTGTGTGTGCAAATTTTGTAGTTGGCGCTGCAGTGAACAGCAGGGTCATTACCACGTATGGCTCAAGTTTGTCTGAATTTACACCAGCGTAAATGACATAAATGGAACATGAAAAAGCCACAGCGAAGGGAAATAGACGACAACGAAACACCCATGACACTTTATGGTGAGCGGCCTTGTGCTGCTGCAGACTTTTATCATCCTCATAAACCCTCTTTACTGGCTCCCTGCTCATCAGTTTTTGTATGCCCCAGGAGAAGTCTCCCTCACCCACACACACACACACACCTCGACATTTATCACTGTCTCATTCTCTAAAATGTGTAGGAGGGGAGTTTCTCTGCAAGTGTGTGCGTTAATAAGCGTGTGTGCACCTTACCTTGGACGTACTGCTTCTTGGTGATCTGAAGCGGCTGCCTTGGTAGGGCCTGGAAGTTCTAGTTTGGGAGAAAACGCATGTTGTAAGTTCAGACTAACAATTATCACCCATTGTCTTATAGCTCAATGGAAGGAGGCCTTCCCCTTTTAACAGTGTATTGTACAGATAAACTGCTCTCTCCTGTGGAAACTTATAAACTAATCTAGCTCTATATACAATTTAGCCCAAAATGATTGACACCCATGCCAAGTTTTGACTTTCTATGTCAAATGTCAAATACAAAATTATTTATAGTCCCTTAAATTGGAAGAAACCTGTGACAAAATTCAGTGCTGTATTCCATTTTAAATGGTGCTGTTGTTTTCTAACATGTTCTAGAGCATTGTAATCCACTGACAATTGAGCAGATGCAGTAGTTCACGAGACAGTTACTAGGTAATTGCAAGTCATGGCTAAAACCTACAAGCTAAGTGGGCTTACTATTAGGGTCCACCACTGGGAGAGATTAGTGGCTGCTCACGAGACAAGGAAAGGCTATAAAGTCATGTTTTACAAGTGCAAGTGGCTACAGTGCAAAGTATCCTCAAAAAGTACAAGGAGCACCATGAAAAACTTCAAAGGTCATTGTAAAAAGCCAAAAGTGACCCTGATTCTGGGAGGAATGGCAGTGTGAGAAGAATCCAAGGCTCACCATTAAAGCCTCCCAGACGAACCTGAACATTTCTAGTAGCAACATCTCAAGATGTACGCTCAAAACCTCCAAAGTACACAAGATTGGATGGTGCAATCTGACACTGATGTACCTTGACCTTGGAGTTCACCTTTCATGTCTTTAGAGGTTGTTCTGGGCTCTTTTGTTACCATTCGTCTTATCCATCTCTTCCATTTGTCATCAATGTTCCTCCTGCGGTCACGTCCAGGGAGGTTGGCTACAGTCACATGGATCTTACATTTCTGAATAATATGTGCAACTGTAGTCACAGGAACATCAAGCTGCTTGGAGATGGTCTTATAGCCTTTACCTTTAACATGCTTGTCTATCATTTTCTTTCTAATCTCCTGAGACAACTCTCTCCTTCACTTCCTCTGGTCCATGTTCAGTGTGGTACACACCATGTCACCAAACAGCACAGTGACTACTTGTAACCCTATAAATAGGCCGATGACAGGTGACTGATGACAGGTTTGTGGACACCTGTGATGCTAATTAGAGGACACACCTTGATTGAACATGTCCCTATGGTCACATTATTTTCAGTCTTTTCTTGGGGTACCATCCTTTTTGTCCAGGACTGTTTCATGAGTTTATTTTTAAAATAATTCTGTTGAACCACGGTTCAAAAGCAATGTCTGATTTTCATTGCTTCATTTTCATAGAATTTTTATTTATTATTACTTTTTGTCAGATTCAAGTTGTTTCTGTGACCGTTGTGGGTTTTTCTTTCATTAACCGAGGGCTACCAACACTTCTGTCCACATGTATATATTTGCAGACACTCCCTGCATGGTCCTTTGAAGCTGTAATGAAGGGATGGAGAAGAGGTAGAGGCGTGTGGGTGACCTTCACTTGTCTATGTTAGTCAAAACAGAATGATTTCATCCTTTCCTTGCTTCAAACGACATTGTGGGGTGGTTGGTGTCAGACCTGTATGTCATACTAAAATGTTATTGATGCTGTGTGTTTTAATAGGCGTACCTCAGCAATCATCTTTCTATAAAGTTAGGGACTTGCAGAAGCCAAATAAAAATAGTCCAAATTATAGTAGCAGAGGCTAAGATTTCTAGACTATTAGTTGCAAGTAAAAATCAAGCTCCAATAACACTAGATCATACATTTACCACATTGCAAACTGACAGTACCTTTATTCAGACCATCTCTGCTGGGTGAATGTGTAATTATTCTCCCCAAATACAGGCTGCATGTTCAAAGTCTGTAAATCTTTTGTATTACTTTTCTTGACACAGCAGAAAAAACATTAATTTAAACATTTCATTTAATATATATATATACCTGTGCTTTTCCTGCTATGACATGTCACAATGTTTGTTGTGAAAAGTCCACGGTTAGATAATTAATCACATCAGCAGGTTTAATGTCTAAGACTTCAGAAAGCTGCCGGAGACACAAAAGTCAGATCGTTCACACCGGCTGAACAGTACTTTCTGCGACGAGCAAAAATCGATGAAGGAAACATTTAACTTTTTCCTCTTCATTAGACATACTTGACTTTCAAGGCTGTTACATCTGAATGTATCCACACATTTAGAGGAGGTTTTACATGAAATTCCTCACTGCAAGAGTCTTTAACGCCACAACTGCTGGTCACATCTTTTATATTTTGCTTATATCCTAAGTTTTACAGTGATGCAATGCCCACATGGATATAATAAAGAAACTCTTATCTTACAAACCTCTAAAGTAGAAATCGACTGATTATCTGGCTGATTGCTGGATCCTATATTCAGCATTTTTCCGATTATCAGTATCATTTTTTAACCAATTCCTGATAAAAATGAATGAATTGAGAAGTGGACTCTTTCAACTGCAATGCAGCTGCTTCCATCCATAATCACCATTCTGTGATGTCGCACAATGTCCAGCCTACGGCACTAATTGACTTGTTACACATTACGGGTAACAGCCAATCAACAATGAAGGATAATTACGCGAAGGTCTATTAATTTAACATATGTAAAACATACGTCTTTTTGTTACGGTTTATGTTCTTCGAATTTTTGACTCCGAGACCAGTAATGGCCTGAAAAAACGTATCAGTCGACCCCTCCTCTGCAGCTAAGGTTTCCAATTCTTCCCCATTTAATGACTCTTCCATTCTTTACCATCATATTTCATGGCCTGAACAGTGTGTTGTATCTTATACAAAGTAGGAAATGTTGTTTTTTGACTTGGATTTGCTTCCATGACAGCTAACCTGCAGAGACAAGCAACCAAATATCAACCAAGTTGTAAATAAACTGACAATAAATGTGTGACTTCTTGTTGGAAAACTCATTTGGCAGGTTGGAAAGTTCCCTCCTGAGTCCACTGTCAGACTCTGAATTCATTAGAGCCTCGGACTGTCCCTGTCGTCATTTGCATCTCTTGAAATTTCCTGTTCCTTATTCCTTAAATGTCATGACTTGCAAAAATCTTGTACAGCATTTATATACCACCGGCTGCTTTGCTTGGTTAAGATGAAGAAAAGCAGAATCCTGAGACACCAGCCAACATTACAGATCTTTCAAGTTTTCAGACACACATCTTAAAATAGGAACAGCCTGATGCTCACTGGGCTCTTGGCCCACCCTGCATCGACCCACTGAGTAATGTAAGACATTGCTGATATAGAAGCACACATAATTTCACATATGCAGGTTTTTCTTTCGCCTGAAGGAGGAAAAAGTGGAAAAGTGATAAGGCTCACCAGCGCACAAACACACGCACTGTTTGATGGAGAGAAGAAAAAAGCAGGTTCAGACTCAGCAGTTTCATTCTAATCCCTATTAATCCCACTGTATCCATCCCTTTGAAAGACACATGCACACACAAAACGGCGTGGTTGTGTGTCTAAGAAAGATGTTAGGATACTAGAGGTTATTATCAAGGACATGCAGGACACATTAATCAGCGTGGACACAGAAACACACCCAAGATTGGAGACAAAGCAGGTTAAGAAAAGGATACAGACATAAATAAAAGCAAAACTGTGTTTTCCCATCATGGTTCGAATCTATACATGTGTGGTTTGACCCTACAGTGAGTGTGTGTGGCGTGGCTGTGTGTGATCGAAGGAGAAAAAACAGCTCCCTGCTTCTAACACTAATTCATTATTTAGAAGAGGCAGAGAGAGGTAGAGAAAAAGAGGGAGAGAGAGAGAGAGAGAGAGCAAGTGTGTGTGTGTGTGTGTGTGTGTGTAAAGACAGGACTGCAGTGGCAGGGTGTGGACAGTGGAAAGAATCCATTAGGGGCCAGGCACCAGTGATAAGCAGAGCTACACCACACACACGTTCAATCACTGCGCTCCTGCATGAGATACGTGACCTGGAGAGTGTGTGTGTTTGAGGCAGAGTGAATGGAAAAAGGTGCAAGTAATTAGAAATGTGCATGTCTGCCGTGTGGGAGTGCTGCCCTGTGATGTGACAGGTGATTCAGTGTGTCACATGTGAATGCTCAGCTTTCCCGTCATGCACAGTGTTGCGCAGTGACGGCAGCATAAATCAATATAAACGCACAACACACACGGGATAAAGAGCGCAGAAAATCACCAGACAGACTGTCAGCATACAAGACAGTTTTTTTTCAAGACCGTTTTCTTCAGTTCTGTTACAATCTGTTTCTGACGCACACAATCAATACACACAAAACTGCACACGCTGATCTAGACAGAAAACACACACAGAAGAAGATCTGGCGAGTTAATGCAAATGTGAGGACCTGCTGCTGTAAGGATCAGCAATCGTAACCTCCAGTTGATCTTAACAAGAAAGTTAGATAGTAGAATGTTAAAGGAAAAAGACGATCAAAGAGATGGAAAAAGGAAAAAAGAGATGGACGGAGACCAAGAGATAAAAAGGCAAGAAGAGAAGCAGACAGAGAATCAAGGAATTCACTGATACATCATCAGCGATAGGCAGACTGTAGTATATGAGTCATTACAGCTTAAGATAGGATGAATGAGAAATTGTAAAATATAAAACTGTCTGGGTCAGCTTGCTCTGCTCACTGCTGACTGTACATTTTAAACACGAGCACTCAGATGTAAGACACAGTCAGGCTCGTCAGTGCGAGTCAGCATACATAGGAACCCCCATTTACACGTGCAGCAACGCAGATGCTAAATGCTTGTCATTTTCAAACACATACACACAGGATGAACATGAAGAACAATCAATAACGAACCTATTATTACACACGCTGCAATTACCTAAGCACTTACACAGCTTCTGTGTGTGTCAAAGAAATCAATTAGTGGCCAGAAATGTTACTATGGACTGATGAAATGTTGCTCAGCAATCTATGTAATACCACAGCAATTCCAGAGATGGCGTCACCTCATG